TTTTATAATATTTCTAAGTTAGGTGGAGCAGCTACAATAAATTTTTCGGGTACATCCAAAGTTATACTTTCATCATCAAATTCCAGTTGATATAGTCCTTTCGAGTCAGTTGGCTGTTTTTTGACAGTGGCTAAATAAAAACATGAGGTCCATTCTTTTTCAATTCGCAAAAGTGAAAGGACTTTACTATTTATTTCATAGGTAGTTTCTTTTGATCTTTTTTCTGGGCTTGTCGTAGGTAAAGGGATCAGAGCTGATTCATCAACATCAATCTTCGAAACTTTATCTTCTGGGAAAGCATCACAAACACTGTACTTCAATGTTTTTTGATTATATCCAAGAATTATTGCTAAAATGTAATCAGATTGAATCTTTAGGCAAACAAATGAATCATTTGGGATTATTTTTCCTTTTTCTAAAGGAATAGCACCACATAAAGGTGGATAAGGAGGAGGAACAACTTTTAAATCAGCGAATTCAAAAAATTTTTGAGCTTTATTTTGTATTTCTCCAACTTCTGGAACAACTTCTTCTGAATTACTCATTTATTTTGATTATATTGGTCAAAAAAATAACCATAACGGTAAAATTTTCAACCTAAATCAATTTTTAATTTGTATATTTTCTTTTATAAATGCATTTATTAAAGTACAAATCCAGTAAGTTTAGTAAAACAATTTTTTTTTCTTTTTTTTGACATTCAGAAAGAATAAAAATGACATGTTACATGAAAAACGATTGTTTACATCATTTTCATAGAATACAAAACTTGATATGGGATGCAACGATAAAAAAGTGTCACTATATTTACGCCCTAATAAAAATTATTAAAAACAGGAAATATAAATTAAGAGAACTTTAATAAATCGAATGATACCTCTTTGATAAGAAAATGTCTATCAGAAGTCGAGATATCACTTACGAAATTTGTGAAGGTCTGTTTGATTTATAATATTTGTTTTTTCAAATAAAAACAATTTTAAATATGCTGTTTGTCATATAAAATATATCATAAATATAAACGCTATCTTCTTAATGGATATAAACTGTCAGAAGTCGAGATATCGCATGCAAAATTTGTGAAGGTCTGTTTGATTTTAAAAAATTTCCATCTTGTAAGTTTTAAAATAAAACCTAATGTTTATTATTTTGCTAAAAAATCCTATTTTTCAAATAATATTAAGAAAAAATGTGAGATTGATTCAAATAGAATTTTCGTCCTATTGAAACCATCGTTTTGGCTTATCAATTTTTGAATAAAATATTATAGATATTGAAAAATATTGATAGTTTATTATTGAAATTTTTTTTCTACACAAATACATTTATATTTGAATATTTAAGATAAATATGATTATTTTACCCAATATTAATAAAATATATTTAAAATATTCAAAAAATTTAGTTATTATATTGACATAATTTTCAAAACTGTTTCGAAAAAATCCTTTTTTTATAAACATATTTTTTATATATTCAAAATGATTTTAATAAAAGTATTTGTACATCTTAATATTTTACTAATATATCCAAAATAAAAATGCCATTTTATTTCATATTTCATATTAATATTATTTTATTAATATAAATAAACCTAATCTATAACATTCTTCAAAATTATATATCAAATTACCTATACATCAAGATGATATATAAATTACTCTATTTATTGCGTTTGTAAAATCATAATTAGCATTTTGGAATATATTAATGTCATTACAGTAGTATAAAATATAATCAAAAAGAATTTTACAAAATGCTCGAACAGAGTCTCAGAAAAAATGAAAGTGATATCTCGACTTCTGACAGATATTTTCCAAAACCAGCCCATAATTCATTTTTATTTATAAGTCCATATTTAATTTATCATATTTTTTAAAAAATAGTATAGTAAAAAAAAAATTTGAATGAATTTTCAGAAAATTTCCTATCGTTGCATCCCCTATAAAAAAAAAAAAAAGTCTATCATATATTTTCATTGTTTGTTGAAAAACTCATGAAATATAAGATAAATCAATTCAATACTATTAAAACATATATTTTATAATAACGAGCAGGGTTGTGTATCGATCCTCTCCGGTAGCGGTTATTTTCCCGGTAATATATCGATATTACCGGCTCTAACCGCCGGTAACGGTATTTATCGATAAAAAACCGAAGTATCGATACAAAGGTGGAAAATTTATATCGAATGTCAGGTTTTTTGTCGGTATTTTTTTTAACAAAAAATGTATCGGATTCATTTCAAGATGACTAATGAAATTTATAAGGTTCTAATGAATATAGTTAATGCTCTTTAATTACATATTTTACAACAAATAATCATCATAATAATTGAATAATCAATGGTTTCTGAAATATCGAAAATTTAATCATCTTTATGTCAATTTCTATTTGTAGATAAATATAACATTCCAGAACTATCGAATTAACTATTAATATGAGAAAGTACATAATATATATAAATTTTATTGTTTTTAATGATAATAATGATATCGAAAATTTTGATTGTTTAATGAAAATGAATATGACGAGATTTCTGAAGAAGAAAGACAATAATATACTTTTTATAGGCTAGTAATTATATTTATAATTAAAATATTTATTTAAAATTAAATAATCAAATGTTGTAATATTTTTATTCATTATTTATAAGCTTGTAAATTTGGTGAAATAAACGTTTTTTGGGTTTTAAAAATCACCAAATGTAACCATATTATTGTAAAATAAATTTTATTGATATTTATTATTGTCATAAACCATTGAATTATTTGAAAGAGGAATTAAATGAGTTTTATCAAAAGTCATATTAATAATCGATAAGATTTTCTCAGTAAAAAAATGTTATTTTTTGAATATTACAAAATAATTGTATGATTTGTATAATATATCATATAAAATATTAATAAAAAGCTCATTTATATTGACGATGAAAAGCCAAATAACCGATTTCACCAAAAGCCCAGGTCTTGGGCTTTTGGCGACAGCATTCAATTTTGAATAGTTTACATATATTTTGGAGATCACCAAAACGGTTTTTTTGGCGATGGTGATTTGTAAAGCTTTCAAAATATCATATATAAAATAAAAAAAAAAATAAGATATAAATATATAAAAAAATCAATAAAAGCATTTTTTCAATTGAAAATAATTTTTTTTCATTTATATTTAAAATATATACCGATATAAAATGTATTTAAAATATTAATAGTATTAATATTTTTATGAATATATATAGCCGAATAATAAATAATGCATTGAAATAATGCATTGAAATATTAATAGTATTTATATTTTTATGAATATATATAGCCAAGTAATTAAATAAATTCATTGAATTTATTGAATGTTGATTCGTAAATTGAATTATTATTTAATCAAATATCATTTAATCATTTTATTTAATAATTCATAAGAAATAACTTTTTAAAAGATTTATTAAAATCGCCAAAAGACCAGAAAGAATCACCAAGACCAGGTCTTTTTTTTACATTTGGGTATATTTTACAAGCTTATTATTTATTAATAAATATTATATATTAAAATACCGTATCGATACTGATAAAAAGTATTATAAAGTACTTTTTTAATAACCGCTGATACTCTAAAAATACCGAAGCACTTTTGTATCGATACTAAAAAATACCGAGCAAAAAAGTATCGATATTTACCGAATACCGATACTTCTTCGGTAACCGGTATTTAGTCGTATCGATAAACAACGCTGATAACGAGAATATACATATTTTTTTTTCTTGAAAAAAGGTCTTACCACTTTAAATTATGTTATGATATTAAATTAATAACGGTAATTTCTTTGCCGTTGTTTATCCATTTATTTGACCAGAAAATTCAATGATGCTTTCAAATGCAAGGTATCTTTTTTTTTTTAGAAAAATGTATGAATTTTTTTGGTTCTTTTTACTTTCAACTGAAAATGATTGAGCCCCAAAGATTATATTTCAATATGGATAAATATCATTAGAGAGACCAATCACTGGATCAATTTGGATAGAATTATAACGAACTTTGAGAGAAATAAATTAAAGATCACCTTTCTTAACTAAGAGGTCTATTATTATTTATTGAATTTTCAGATGTTTATAAAAAAAAAAATAAAGTGAAAATATGGAACTTCAGAGATTCGAACCCCGATCTCTGGTCACACCTGCCAGCGCATTGCCAATTATGCTAAAGTCCCTTCTTATTATATAATGCTTTCTTCAGTTATTTCTTATTTATTTTATTTGATCTCTTAGTTAAGAAAGGTGGGTGCTAATTTATTTAGCACAAAATTCGTTATTTTATTTCAAACTTCCTTATGTTTTGAATGCTTCTTACAAATTAAAAAGTTTGAGAGCAGATAAATAATCAAAGTATTTGTAATAAGAAAAGTGACAATCAGAAAAGTGAATCATCAACGATTATTTGTGATGAAACTTTATGTTATTCCATTTTTTAAAAGATGAAAATGATCATATATTCAGATAGACCCATGGAACTTATGATTAATCAAATGAAATACTTTCTCAATTATATTTGAATCAAATAATATTTATTGAAATATTATTTAGAAAATTATTAATAAATGGTTGCAAAAGTTACATCTGTAGTAATCACTAATTTATAGAAAAAATCTGAATTGTGCAACTTATTTTGTTACCCGAAAAGACATAGTGCGTTACTACACTAACCCAAAAGCATGCCTGAGGCGCTTCGAGCTGCACAGCAGTATGTCCATGAGGAATATAATTAGGAGAATTCAAGAATTCCATTACTTCTTCAGTTAGAGACTCGGAAGTAAGTTTTAATGTTCTATCATTCTTTAGCATTAACACAATTGTTTGGGATGTAATGTGATTTGAAATCAATAATAATAAATTATTATTTTTCGCCTCTAAATTACTAAATTTCGATTATTTCCGCTTAATAATATTCAACAAAACTTAATGTAATTATGAAAAAAGAATGATAGATAAACTTAAAAATATAAAAAAAATTGTCAAGACAAGGAATTGAACCTTGATCTGGCTTCAGAAACAATCAAAATTTTGGATTGAGAGAGATGCCTATCCTTCCATTGGACGACCTTGACTTACTTTAATAGATTTTTATTTATATATTTATATATTTATATATTTACTTATAATTTTATTAATATTTCTTTTCTTTATAAATAGTTTACAATGATATCTTATAAAAAGATTTGTTATTAAAATGGAAATGAACTTTTTGAAATAATATAACTCAAAAACAATCAATTTGGAAAGAAAATTTTTTGAATAATATAATATTGACAAACAAACTTATTCAATTTTGCTTTCAATTTTTCATTGAATTTTTATTTATTTATAAAATGAAATTCTTATTACAAATACTTTGATTATATATTTTTGATGCAATATTTTAAAGAATTTTTTGAATTTTCATTTTTTAAAATAATTCTAGAATCTCAATCTTATCTTTCACACTTTTGAAGTGACAATCAGGAAAGTGAATCATCAACGATTATTGATGATGAAACATTCAGCTGTTCTATTTTTTAGAAGACGAAAAATAGTATTTGTCACGATGATGAGATAAAATTTGGTAACAATTTAGGAAAAATAAGTCAACTGTTCTTCGAAATTGTCACAAAAATTAGCTAAACTAGAATTGCCAAATTAATTGATAAGATAAAAAAAAAGATTGAAAAAAAAGATAAAAATAAAATTTTTAAAAAAAGTGTCAAGACAAGGAATTGAACCTTGATCTGGCTTCAAGCAATCAATATTTTGGTTTGAGAGAGATGCCTATCCTTCCATTGGACGACCTTGACTTTCAATAATTGCTTTTTATTTATATATTTACTTATAATTTTAATTATATTTCTTTTCTTTAAAAAATAGTTAATCTTTTAAAAAAATTTCTTTATAAAATGGAAAATGAACTTTTTGAGATCAAAATACTCTAAAATATTCAATTTGGAAAGAAAACTTTTTGAATAATATAATATTGACAAACAAACTTATTCAATTTTGCTTTCAATTTTTCATTGAATATTTACAAATATTTACAAATGTTTATTTATAGTCCTATCAAAAAGTGGCCACGCTCTCTTTTAAGTGGCCACGGTGATTTGACACCTATATTTCATTAAATTCAAAGGGGGGTAAATTGGTATACTCACAATTTAAAAAAATTCAGAAGAATATTTTTTTATTTTTTAGTGGCGATCAAGCAAATGTCAGATTATCAAAATCTCATTTAAAATCAAATGGTTTAATATGGCAAACTCTCAATTTTCCACTTTTTCTTTAAAAAACTAAAAAATAAACGAATTTTTATTTAATACTGTCAAAAAAAGAATTATCATTCAAATACAAGTGGTGCAAAACGACATTTTAAAAAAAATTATGACCAAGGTTAAATAAAAAAAAAAAACAATAGAAATTCAATGATTCTATTGATTTTAGGTCAATAAATTTGATCAAAAAAAAAAAAAAAACAAGACCATTTTTTCAAAACATTATCACTTTAATTTAAGATCAACAATAGACAACAAACAAATAAGCAGCAACAGCGCTTATACATTCACTTTTATCTTATGCTCTTCGACACTCATGAGATGCTACGAGAATCATAATGATTCACTTGTAAACAACAAACAAACAAACAACAACTAAACACAAACAAATAAACAATAACAACACGTATACATTCACTTTTATCTTACGTTCTTCGACACTCATGAGATGCTACGAGAATCATAATGATTCACTTGTAAACAACAAACAAACAAATAAACAATAATAACACGTATACATTCACTTTTATCTTTCATTTATTCTTTTTCATTTTTTCTTTTTTTTTTTTTAATATTTTATCTATTAATTTATTGAAATCACCTTTATTAATAAACCTTTTTAATTTTCTTATTCTGCTTTTTACTATTTTTTTGTAAAAAGTCTTATTATTTATATGAAAAAATTTTTCTAATACATAAGATTATATTTTTTAACTTTTTGAATTAATCTGACACCGTGGCAACTAAATTGAGAGGGTGGCCACTTTTAGACAGGACTATATTTAAATAAGAATTTTGACGCAATATTATAAGAATTTTTTGAATTTTCATTATTCTAAATAATTCCAATTTTTAAATAAATCGAGGCTTGCTTTTTATGCTCATCAATGCATTTAAACATGAATTTAAAAGTTTGATTTTGATGATCTTGGTCCATTTCATTAAATTTTGTTAAATTAGGATTATTTGGAATAATGTAAAGAACTGGAATGGGGAATTCAATTAGTCTAGAGTCATTTATATAATCGAAAAAGTGGGCTGAAATGTAGTCTTCATCAACTTCATCTAGCTGATTATTTTGATGATTATGGTGTAATGATTGAATAACAAATCCTTTATTGTTATCTGTAATGTAATCATTTGTTAACTTAATTAGTCCTGGTACAATATATTCCAATCACTATGTCAATTTAAATCATAATGCAAAATGAAAATTTCCGTTGTTATTTTTTGATTATTATATGAATGTATATTTCTGTAAAGCGATATATAAAAGTTTTTTTCCATAAATATGTTTCATTGCATATACACTTTGGCTTATTTCTATATGTTTAAATAATAAAAGTATCTTTTAAATGATTTTAATGTATATAAAAAAGTGTTTTATAGCAAGCATGCAAACAAAAATAAAAAAATGTCAAGACAAGGAATTGAACCTTGATCTAGCTTCAATCAGCAAATTTTGGATTTGAAAGAGATGCTTATCCTTCCATTGGACGACCTTGACTTTCATTAAATGATTCTTATATCCTTATTTTTTCTATAACCTTTACAGTTTTAGATTTATAAAATATGCATTTTTTATTCTTTTAAATTGGTAACTAAAAAAAAAAAAATTTCCCCTCTGTTAATTATTCGAATTTGACTGTATGTGAAAAAAACATATTAAATTGTTGAATTTAAAAAAAAAAATGTAGAAACTCTGACTTTCAGACTTTAATAATAATACCTTGAGAAGAATAAATTACACGCTTAAAAAAAAATTCATTATCCCAAATATTTTTACAAAATGAAATGTACAGTCATTAATAAAATTCTGAGTGGTGATAAAATTCTGAGCGTAGACTTGTTATTCTCCGATTCTCGAGATCGAATTCAGAGATCGAGAATTTTTTTTCTCAGCTTTTGATATCAGAATTTTCAATTAAACTTTTTGATAATATCCTTGTACAATATACTCAATTGCCAACTGACGATTTGAAAACACATTCGAAATTAGTATGAATTACTAAGTAAATTGAATCATTTTTTGGGTACAAAATTCTTAATTTTATAAAATCATTCTCATTTAAATTTTCATAAAAGATTTCACTGTTGTTTTCTCTTTCATTTACCTCCAAAATATCAGATTTAGTTAAACTGAAATTGTTTAAGTTTGAATTTTTTAGATAAAACAAAATAGTTTAATTTTTTAGATTCTTTGAAATATATTGCCAAAACATTTTTTAACTCAATACCGGTGAAAAATATGATGGTAAAAATATTGAATGGTGGAAAAAATATTGAATGGTGGGAAAAAATTGAATGTCTTGTTTTTTTTTTTTTTTTTTTATAATAATAAATTAATTATTAAAATGAAGCCATGGGAAATTGAAAATATTCGGTTTTCGATTAATTGTAGCAACAAAAGGAAGATATTGTCCAGTTATATAATTTATTATGATTCCTTTTTAAATCAAACCAATATTGCAAAGGAACAAACAAACAATATGAAAATAGTAATGAAAAAATCTAAAAATGAAACAGGAATAATGACTTATTTTATTAAAAAAGTAAAAATATTTTTATTTATATATTATACAACAATATTAATTATTGATCATGACAAAATTCAAAAATACAAAGAAGAATTAAATTCATTAATTAATTTTTTTATATATCTAACAAGTTTTAGTGAAGAAATGTTAAACTATTATTTAAATCAAAATAATTCATATTTTTCTCAATCAAATTTGGTTAATTTTGATATTAAAGATAAAATAATTAAATGTATCATTAAAAAAAGTCAATATAGAACATTAATTAGAACTCATGAAAATTCAATAGACAAAAATGGTAACATTGATTTTAATATTAAAGAAATGGTTGATATTTTTAATTATTCATCAAACAATAAATTGATAATCAATTTAAAAGACCAATATTTATATATTTTAAAATCATTTGATTGTCATGTAAGTAAAAAATCATATGATCATGAAATCCAATTTTATAATAAAATTGGTAAGGTATTTCATTTTATTCGTAAAAAGTATGGTCAAATTGATACTGGAGATGAAAAACATATTATACTTGAATATATTGAAGGTAAAACTTTACTCAAATTCATACAAAAAAATAAAATTGATCTATCAATCAAAATGAAAATTATTTTTGAAATTTTATTGTCTCTGCATTTCATACATTCAAATGGGTTTTTTTTAAGAGATTTAAAATGGGATAATATCATTATTAATACATCAAATGATGCTATATTAATTGATTTCGATTCATCTAAAAGTATAAATGAGGAATTCGCTGAAGAAAATAATTCAGAACAGACATCTGATATTGGATTTTATATTTTTGCAGCTCCAGAGCAAATGAGGTCCAACAATTATTCATATAAAGTTGATAGTTATTCAGTTGGAATGATTTTTCATTTCATTGTTACAGGAATCCCTTATAATGTAAATAAAATGACATATGATTATGTGAATAATATTTTGGATTCTGGGAAAAATCTTTTGCAATCAGAGGAAATACCAAAGTGCCCTAAAGAATACAATTATTTATTAAGGATTTATAAAAATTGCCTTGATGTCAAACCAGATAAAAGGCCTGATATTAAAGACATAATTTTAAGTATGTTACATATCAAAAGCAAAGATTTAAAAAATATCCTCAAACAAGTTATACCATATATTATAAATATAATTGAAGAAAAAATTGATCTTTTTCAAAATAATTCATTTTTCTATTATTCCCTCGGTGATTGTTATTTGCAAGAAAATATTTGCCAGAACATTGAAAAGTCTATTAATTATTTA